ACCAAACAGATATTTCTTATTATAAATCACAAGATCACACAAAAAAATGCAGCATTATGAAGATAAAGTCCCATTTACCTGCCACCCCAACACTCATTCTTCCCAGAAGATGCCAGTATCGTGAACTGAGACTGTGTCCTTTCTGAACTTTTATTTTATATACCAATGTAACCACGAACAATAGGTAGCGTAATTTTGAATTTAAAATGTACATATACAGTTCATTCTTGCAAATATCATTTTACCACTTGCTTTTTTTGCGTAATATAATTTAATTCACCCATGTTGCTGCAGATGTAAAAGGCTGCCAATCATTAAGGGTAAAGAGTCCAGAGCTCTACCTATACTTACAACAAACTGATTTTCATGTTGGCAATATTATTTGCAGTAGCAAAACCTGCATCGCTGAGGGCTTCCCATTTCAGGATTAAATTGTGCCAATCGGCTGCATTATCCTTAATTTTTCTTGCGCTGACAGATAAGACAGGTTTTCTGGGCGTCACACTTCCAAGAGTCTTTGCTGATAGGCAGTAAAAGAAACATAATTATTATAAAAGTCATGATCGTAGTTGGACGGCAAATGTTCTCTTAACTCTCAACAGCAAAACAATCCAAAATGCTACATCAACTGGACAAATAAATGTTGTGGAAACTAAGTCTGGATGACTGTGAAATTTCCCAGAACAAGAAAAAACAGAATCGTTTTTACATTTTAAGACGCACCAGAGATCACTGGATCCTGTCCCAGCTTAACGCTCCACAAAGTTTTACCTGAAGCACTTTGACCACTTTCAAAGGTTGGAAGTAAGGTGACGACGTGATTTCCTGCAGAAACTCTCCAATGCCCCATGCCACTGTATTCCGGTTATCTAGTCTCACTTTGATGCCTAACATTTGTTTAGAGCTGTGTGGTTGACAAGTGCTCGTCGCCCCATGACACTGACAAGGCTGGGCCCCAGAGATGCAGAGATGATCTCCACGCTTAGGACCCAGCAGGAAGTCCAAGATCTTTCAGGATCTGACTCTCTCTCCGCCTCCACGCTTATCTCAACTCCCACCTGGAACCTGCCTCGATCTCCAGCTGAATCACTGGCAGCTCCTGAAAAGTGGAGTCACCTGCAGGCCTTTGCACATGCAGTCCTTTCTGCTAGAAAGTTCTTTCCTTCCTTGGGCTAGCGCTGCCCATGCTCCAAGACTCGCCCAGATCCCAGCTCCTGTGGGAAGCAACCCCCAGACCGCCAAAAGCCAACTCAGGCTGTTTGGGTTCTCCCAGCCCGCCTGTGCCCTCTCCCCTCCCCGAATGAGAATCCTGCAAAGGCGTCTCATGGCCCACAGGATAAAGTCCAAATTCTGTGAGGGGCCCCTTCAGGAATCCAGGACACACAACAGTGGTATAGTTTGGAGTCTAGACTCTGAAGATCATACTGACTGGGTTAAAATCCCAGCTCTGCCATTGCCAGCTGGGCGATCTTGGGCAAGTTAACTGACTTCTCAGAGCTTCAATGTTCTCACTTGTAAAACAGAGATAAAATACATCTACTTCAAAGAGCTGATGTAAGTTTACGTAATGCACATAAAGCTGTGAGGGCCCAGGACATGGTAAGTATCTGACACAGTGTCTGTTATCACAGGGACCTCTCCCATGTGTATTTTTCTCCACCACTGCCACCACCAAGCAATAAATTCAATCCTGACATAGCCACCTGGAGAAAGCTACAGATCCCACAGGTTAAGGGCTCAGTCAGTCCTACAAGACTGCCCTCTCCCACCTCCACTTCAGATGACAGTCCCGAGTCCAGGTTGTCACCTTCTGACATACCAGCTATAGATGGGAGGTTCCAAACACCTCTCCCTTGGATGTGATTATTTTACTAGAGAGGCTCCCAGAACTCCGGGAAACACTTCACTTACCGGATTACTGGTTTATTACAAAAGGCTATAACCCAGGAAGAGATGGGGACGACAAGGTATGCGGGAAGGGGCGCTCTCCATTTCCCTGAGTGCTCCACTCTCCCCGAGAACCTGCCTTTTCACCAGCCTTGGAGCTCTCTGAACCCTGTCCTTTTGCTTTTGGGTTTTCGTGTGCCTTCATTACACGGGCATGATTGATTAGATAACTGGCCATTGATTCAACCTCCGGCATCTCTCCCCTTCCTGGAAGTAGAGGACTGAGGGTATGGGACCGAATGTTCCAACCCTCTAATCACAAGGTTGGTTCCCTGACACCTTTTTGCGCACATCATCTCGTCCTGCGTGTGAAAAACGGAGGCCAGGAAAAGCTGACTGGTTCCCCGGCTGCCTGCAGAGCCCGCGCGGGGCCAGCGGGCTGGGCTGGGACGTCGCGCAGACCCCACTGCACCCCAGAGGCTCTCGGCCCCAGCCCCAACTCCACCCCGGGGGCGGTGGTCACACGCACCTTCCATTCGGTCCGCCGATATCCCAGGAAGGAGACGCGAAGCCCCGCCCACGCCGCCGGAAGCGCGCCTGCGTCACTTCCGCTCCGCCCCTCCCGCCGCCACTTGTGGCTCCGCCGCTCCAGCCCCGGCGGAGTGCGCTGTTGCTCAGCGGGGCCGGCCCGGTTGCCCAGGGAACGGGCTCCCGGCATCCCTCGCGGCCCGGAGGCGGTCCCCACCCCCTGCCGCCCGGCGGGGCCGACGAGTCCCGAGGGGTTGCCGCGGGAGGTGAGTCCGGCCCGCGCCCCTTCCTCGGCCTCCCGGACCCCCTGCCCTCGCCTCAGCGCCGCCCTGCGCGTTTCGCCCCCCTTTCCCGCTCCCGTCGCTCGCGCGCGGTGGCCGAGGCTGAATGCCATAGCACGAAGCG